ATTTTCATGCGCCAGGTCAGTACTACTTGCAATAGTTTTCTATATTCTCGCCTGTCGGTGGCCACTCCGGAGGGGCCTTAAAGTACCTTCTCTTTTTATCTCTATGTGATTTACAAAGAAAACCCACTACTAGCCTAAAACTACAATGTAGAATTTGAGTAAGGTAATTTGAAATTCTTAGAACTTTGTATTACCTAAGTGTGTTAGTCAAATGAAAATTAGAAAAATCCGCTCTCATAATTTGTTGTTCTGTTAAGTTGTCTTCCTATTATATTTCAAAGTGAAAGGCATATTTTGTGATTTTTTTGCTCTAATAAAAGCTTAAGTATTTTGGTTTCTAAAGCTACAAAATACTAAATGCCTTGGTAGCACTTTAATGCACAAATTTATCACCTAGCATTTTCTTTTACTTTCATATGGATTTGCAAGTACATGTCGTGACAAAATCTGTTTCTGGTCGCAACAGAACAATGGCAACACTCAACTTCTACCATCCTTTTGGTAATGTTAATAAACGCACTTATTTTGTTTATATTGCTCCTCCCTTTACCATAGCCGCTCTACCAATTTAGAAAAACTTATTTAAAATGTTAAAAGAAATGCCTAATTTTGTTTTTCTTTCCCTTTGATGTTTGCCATCAGATACTCTCTTGCTCTAGTAGATATCCAATTAACTAAAGCCCTTCGGATCTTAGGCAGACTGGTTTGCAGACATACCTTGCAATACAATTCTGAAAAGTGAATAAATCGGGTAAAATTAATGTTTTAAGAAGCTAAAAATTAGGTGCGACTGTGATTTGAGATGACATTACCTTTGAAGTCGTTGCCAACATCATGAAGCCTAGCACAACAAAAATTCCCTGGTAACCCTCGCATTGAGGCAATGTCGTTTTCTCAGTAGTCTGGACTCAATTTCGTAGTCGCTCATTTGCCAGCAGAAAGAAATGAGTTAATTCTTCTCCAAAAGGTTCATAACAAGGACTAAACTTTAGCCTGTCTCGACACTTACTTTTCAGTTATTGTTTTTTAGATCGTGCACAGTCTTCTCTTAATCCAAAGTCTGAGGATCCCTTTGACGTAAGTGAACGAAGGTTGTTCGTTAGGTAGGACAAAGATTGTCAACGTCGATTCTTATTCTGGTGTAATCCAAATCTCCTAAATTAGAAAATTTTTAAATCTTCTTAAATAAAAAGTAAGTATATGATTTGATGAGAATCTCTGCTAAGACATTGATAGTAGTACAGTTTGCATCACTTTCATCAGGTACGCAAAAGCCACTTTGTAGATGAAAGCAGTTCAAGATATTTAATATTCACTCAGCTGAAAATATTTTTGCTTTGTAATTTTGTTGCCTACACTGTTAAAGAATACCATTTATTCTGATACTAGCATGAAACGTTTAGTTTCATACGTTTATTTGTACTCTCAGGTCAGAAGGAAATGACCTTCGCCCCATTTAAGGTCATTATAAAGTCATGACGTTAGTCTTTTTGTTAGAATAGAATAATACAACTTAGCTAATGGCGTAATCTCATCTTTGTGCCCATTCTTCCCATCATGGAAATAATGGTCCTCTACTGAATAGTTTTTAGTAATATTATTTCAGCAAAGTCCGCGACCATTTAAGAAATATTTTAATGGGAGTTGGTTGATTATTATACTTTTTAATTGAAACATATGGATTTTAAACATCACTCCTTGATCACCCACTGCATATTAGTGAAGAGATTCTTGTAGGACCCAAGTGAGACCTTCTCGGAGCAACTTGGCAACTAACATTTATGTGAAAAATCTAATCGCCTACATTTAACCAATGGTTTTATGGGTGGCGATGAGGCAGTGTAGAGCACCTCCTACCATTAGCGATTAGGATAATTTCTAAAGCTAAATAAAATCAACGGTTATGGTGATATTTGCGGTAGCAAACATGATTATACCCAAAAGAAATGTCATTGATGGATATTTTTTAGATAACTTTTAAATTTTCAACATGATCTGTAAGAGCTGCAAAAGCATGCATTTTGGTTCCTTCCTTTAAACATCCTATAACCCCTTTTTAAGTTGTTTGAAAAGTGCAATAGAAGCAGACGGGTAGGCGGGCAGACATACTCAGCACCTTTTTATCGATCGTGTCTGATATTGCAGATGGGAGTAAACAGAGCATTACGTAAGAATGGCTATTTTTAGTGGGACAAACAATCACCTTAAGTAATCTGCCCGAATTTGCTTGGGTCCGATAATATATCGAAACAGTCCAATGAATACCATACTTTTTAATGGGCTAATTGATTCAAGTGACGCCCTATGCAAAAAATTGCGTAAATGTAAAAAAGCACAAAAAATACTTTTGATGAAACAATTGACACTGCCTTCTATATTTCCCTCCCGGCAAGACATGAGCTTTTAAGGCCTCACTTTTTGCAATGATTTAGGATTAAAATTACAACTAATTTTGGCTATGTCCTTTTCTGTCTCATTTTGATCCCCAAATAGTCTGCCTTATTTTGTATGGGATCATGCAATTATTTACTACCAACAAGAATTGGCGATAATTGTGGCTTAGATCTATAAAAATGACACTAAAGAAGTACGAAGGATGAGGATGCGAATTTATTATCAAGTTAGGCTTTAAAATGCACCGCTTTGCAATTCGGGACTCCAATTAGGTTGCAAGGCGCCTATCCAAGCTGAATTTAATATCTTTTTGGAAGCCCTAAGTGTTAAAAGACAATACATACATGGAGGGATAAAGCTTATAAGCATGTCCAACAAACAATGCTACTAAACGGAGTCACGGTAACCAGACTTCAACTATACCTACTGTCTTTTGACCATTACTTCATCTCCTTATGAATGTAGCATGACCACATATTTAAGTGCTATTTTTAATTACAGGGACTCTTTAAGTATTTGATATGTAAAAGAGTTCTTCTGTTCGCCAATAATGAGCAGCTCTTCTGATTTGTAGATGCACAATAAACATGGTTTGAGCCCGTATGCTTCACCAAACAGGTTTACCTCGGTTCTGAAGCTGCAACAAGTCAACACCTCAACACTTCGTCCGCATTCGAATGGTCCCCACCACCTGGTACCTGCCATGAAGTAACACAGTAGATGCGTCAACTTCACGAATTCTTCCTAATGTTCACTTCTACACTTCACTTCTCAATGAGTAGAGATCTCAGTGCTGCCAATGATTTACGTAATTGCCGACTAGCCTACAGATACTTTCCTGCTCAGTCAGGCTAAATGTGAGTGCTGACACAATTTATGCATATTGACGCTAAAATGAAAGAAAAAGTGGTGCGACGCAAGTCTTAGCCTCGAAAAGCTTACTCCCTCATCCGGAATGACAGATGAAGAGGGCAATATTTTCTTGCCCTCATAATCATGCTCAATCCCACTCTAATATATGTTGTTCGCATGATCTTGTTTCTCAAAACTTTAAAGGGTCATTTTTACCCTTTTGTGTCCTCATTTACCAATGAGCTCGACCACAAGTGAAAATAGATAGACTAATTAGAAAATTGAAAGGGTGAGATAAGTGGACCTGATTAAGGCAAGACAAGTCGTTTGTGCGGTGTTGGGGTAAGTTTACCTCATTTAGAAGCATCTACTGATTAGTGGAACTGCCTTAGATTTTTTGGTGGGATTAACAGATGCAAAGCACTCTAAATTTTTGACCTACAAAGCCTAATAAATGACACAATAAAGGGATCATTACGTCACATTGCATGAAACTAGTGCCATTCATTGTCTATTTGGAGTTTTAAATGGGGAGACGAGGTTTGTAATTATATCTTATTCTTTGGCAGAACATTTTGAAACCACTTAGTGCGACTCATAACTCAAATGCTGCATAAAATTTTAATTAGATATTTCGATTTAGAGCAATAAATTGCAGTGTCTGAGTTGCCCTTTCAACTGCTTTTAAGCTCACTGCTCCATAAATACTTTATAGCTAGGAAGCATTAGCAATGGGACATAAGACATTACCAAAATTATGCAAATGGCTGAGGTAGAGGTCCATCTCGCTGCCTGTGGAATATTTATTAGGTCTTATTAAACTGCTCTGACTCTTCATTTACTGCGAATAGTACCACCCTTTTTCGTTATGTCTTTCAAATTGTCAATAGATTCTGCGTCCCTCTGTAAACTAGTTATGAAACCAACCTATCTTTTAGTCGTCTCTTATTAGAGGTTCAAGGTAGGTTTGGAGTGCTACATTCGCGACACCAACATGGTAGCCGGAGTCAGGCAAAGAATGGTATAGGTTTTCAAATCTAAGCATCATAAAGGGAATTTATTGGCAGTGGGCGAATGACTGCTCAAAAAGGTCAAAGCGACCAGGTCATCGTTCAACCCTTAACATCGTGTTTCAGGGTGATTCCTCCTACGTGCAGCTTGCCATGCGGAGAACAGAATAATGAGTGTGTACCTTCGTCAGTAGCACCATCGCTAAGATGCGAAATAATCATTTCATCTGTACCTACCTCGAGATTATCAGCACTTCACATGACGACTCGTTACGACTTAAGCAAAAGAGGGACCACGAGAAGTACTGTGAACGACGATGTACTATGGGTTGCTGGTACCTTTGGCCCAGAAGAGCTCTTTGGTTTCCACAATTTGTATTTTTGCCCAATAGTTTGATCTTTGAACCATGCCAATAACCTCCCAGCCCTTTTGTACACTATTAGTAAATCACTCTTCTATATTAGCATGCTATTTTAAAACTGCAGGGAGCACTTGGAACTATATTACATCGGAGAGAAATTCATTTGCTTATTTTACATCCAAATTATTCTTTATTTATAACCAAAATGTTCCATTTCTACATAACTCAGCTCTTCAAATAATAGCTTGTTGCCTTTGGACCCGATTGGTACTGTTGATTAGCCACTTCTTTGTGCTCACCATTTAAGGGTTACTCTAAGATTTACGACTGAAATCAGTCCGACCAAAAACCTACGGATAAAGAACGTGTAGATGAGATTTGCATGGCTACAGATAGTGTGACGCGTTTGGAACAGAAGGAGAGCACCTTCAAATTTAATTTCTTTTACATTTTGGGAAAAATAGCACGTAGTGAGCGTTTTATAAAGTCCGTATTCCATTGTATGACAAATTGTTATTTTAAATTGCAGGTTTGAAGGATACAGTGGAAAGTGCACTTCCAACCTCTTCTCTAAGACGCAACGTTAAGGTTTTTTAGTGAAGTGCAGATAGACTCCGGCAACTGCCCTAGACTCATGACCTCGAGGAAAGCTGTATACAAGTGAAACGACATTAGCTGCAAACCATCTGGAAATGTTTGCTACTGAGTTATCTACCCTATATGTATGAAGATATAAATTATGTGAACACGCATTACCTCCTTTACCTCTCTACTAGCCGGATAGAACCCAAGTGGAATTGGTTGGGCAGCACTGAGGTAAAAACAAAGTGGCAGTAAGGAACAGACACTTTTAGGCCAGTGTTTTTGCGGATAACTATGGAAGGGCGTGATAGCCGGAACATGATCCCGTCCTCCAATGCATTTCCCACATAGAATGAAATACCAGATCCAGTAGGATTGCCAAGAGGGATCAGCAACGCTGCAGTCAAATATCTTTGAAGTTACCCGCCAATTTTGATGACTAAAGTGTTTGGCTAGTAGGTGTTTTTTTTACAGCACTAGTTATCTTGCATTGGCTGGTGTGGAGGATGACCGAAGAAGGGCTGGAGATGACGCTTAAAAGAGGAGAGGAGCCATGTGGTGAGTTGGCTGTGTGTTTAACTCCTGGTTTATAGTAGGTATTTAGGCTATGCCGGTAAATCCAACCTTTTCTCGAAGTCGACAAAACATATTCTGTCAGGCTATTGTGTCTTCTTTTGTCTTTAGGGAAGTGTTGGGGCGCAAACATAGTATATTTTTAAAAAGCAGATGTACTTATTTGCAACCAACTTTTTAAGCTAAAGTTTTCGATCTTGCGATTTGATTCATCAGCCAATGATTTGCCTTTGTTTTACCATGTCTAGATGGTATTTGTGCAGTTTTTAATAATTTTTGTGGAATCACTCCTAATTTAAATCTGAAAGGGCATTTAACGCTTCGCTAACTTCAAGTTTAAAAATATCTTTAAAAATTTTTTAGTATTTTTTTTAAATCGAATTTTGAATAACTTTTCACTTTGCCCTTATCGTATGCATCGGAAGAGTGATTTAAACAATGGCTAGAAGTAATGCACTTACATGGTGGCAAATTATCCTTTAGATTAATGAACTTTTAACGTCCTTTTCAAGATCTCTTTTTATGCGGATTCTCCACTGACTGGTCACTTGAGGAGACCAATAGGCAGGCAGCAGAGTAAGTAGTACGCCAGTGCTTTGCAATAAACCTCTCATTTTTTCCCATCCCATGGCTAACCATCAGAATATCACTTTTATTAATTCACACTTGACCCGATTTATTAATCAGATCCTCCTCATCTACATTGGATACCCTATAATGCTCGTTGGGATCACAACTAGTCTCCTCATCCTCTTGCTCTTCCTTTGGGACTCCCAAACCTTTGTCAGTACGCGTTTTATCCTCTCTTGCACCGCAGCTGCTGATATTGGCTACCTCTCCTTTTTGCTCATTTTCTGCCTTTTTCAAGTCATTGAAAGCATCGAATGTCCTATTGTATTAGCCCTCCTTTACTGCGCTTTCAACATCTTCGAAATCTTTTGCAATTGGCTTCTCACCGTCATGTCTCTTGAACGCGTCCCCTTTTTTCTAAACCCATCAAATTTAAAATTCTCTGGAACCTCAATCACGTACGTATTATTGTAATCTGTACAGGTGGTTCATATTTTTATGGACCTTCTGGCCCTCACATGCATCCCCGTCATATTGATGCTCGTCTTCTCCTTACTAACCACCAGGACCATCACCAATGCAATGCAGAAGAAGCTCACGGAGATGAAAATGGAAACTTCAATGAAGAAATGCCAGAAAACTCGATGAAAATTGTGTCACTCTTGTTAAATGCTTTAATTGTTTTCGTGGTCACATCGCTACCAGAAATCCCTAGTAGTATTCTTAAGACTTATGTGATGTTAAATGAGGTAGAGGAAGTTAATTAAAAGCCATATCTAGTGTGATGAGCGGGTTTACGAATCTGCTCTCTGTTATCAACTCTACCTCCAACTTCTTTACCTACATTGTCCAGAGCAGCCGCATCGGGGTATGCTGATAGACTGCCTTTATTCTCGAAGAATTAAAAAAGCGAAAACATCTAAGATCTCTAGTCTCACATAAAAAGACTTTTTTGGCCTAATTTGAGGAAATGTTTGATTATCCTGTGCATTTATTTTTGTCCAATAAACGGAACTCTGTTGAATCATAATAATTTTAATATTGAAAGGGAAGAAATGGCTTTCTCAGGGATTTCTAATGAGGAAGTATTGAAGTAGGCCAAGACTTTATTTTTAAGACCTAGGAAGGGACATTGCGAAGATGGCACCAAAAGCAGTAGTAAGTGACCTTTGTGCCCTATTGCAATTTAAAAGACGGTGAACATATCTGTTTAGACAGATCTAGACTTTGATTGTCAAGTCGTTGGGCAGCAAAAACAACGGGCTGGCGTACAGAAAACGGCGTCCAAAAACAAATGATAATTCTTGTCAATGGAGGTAAAAAGTACCATGAAAATCTATTACTCCAGAAAGCTTAAAATGCACTTATTTTACCAATTGCACGCCTAGTTTTACCATCATGTTTCCGAGAATGGAATCCACAAGTTTCAAGAAATCACGTAAGTCCATCACGGCCGCACCGTTAATTAATCATAGCTGCGAAATATCAGCTCATAGAACACCCCATTCTTCATTGCTCATAAAAGCATAACCTCTCGTCGTGAAATTGCACATGAGAGGGGTCCTTCCATAGCAGTAGCAAACACCCTCCTCAAGCAATTGCAACCTTGGATGGCGAAGCGAGGTAATTTGTCCGATTTCACAAATTTGACTCTTGCAAATATGGCAGCAGGATAGTGCATCGGGATTT